TATGTATATATATATATATATATGTATGTATGTATATGTATATAATTAAATTATATTGTGTAATTCGTAGAACTTTTTCTTATTTGAAAATAGTTTACCATAATTTTGAAGAAATTGTACAAATAATTGTTGTATACTTTAGTTTCAATTCTCAATTAGAGTATACTTTCAAAAATGTATTTTTCGTTATTGAATTTTTATACGAAGTTATTCTTTCAAAATTAAAGGATATTAAATCTTAAATTTGGAGAAATATGTAATGCCCCATAATTGTAATTAGCTTTTTAAATATTTTAACTCAATCATTCTTGTCACTATTGTTTAATATTAACTTTTCTTAATTATTTATTATAAATATGAATAAAAATAATAGGCTTATGAATGGCATTATAGTTTGAACACTTTCTACAGGATTAGTATTCTCTCCGTGTATACTTATTTTGTTGAAAAGTAATTAAGTGGACAAAATAATATAGATATAGAGTCTCAATTTAAGGCCATTAGGAAAAATATTATAAATAAAAGTCAATTTATGGCTGTACTAATAAGACCTCCCGGCATAGACCGAGCGCCCAGCCATCTAGTAAATGCATGTTTGCCCAAAGATTGGACGTCCGCCCAAGGAGTGGACGTTCGCCCAAGAGCTGGACGTCCGCCCAAAACGAGACGTTCGCCCAAGAGCAGGACGTTCGCCAAGGATTGGGCATTCGCCCAAGGAGTGGACGTTCGCCCAAGAGCTGGACGTCCGCCCAAAATGAGACGTTCGCCCAAGAGCAGGACGTTCGCCAAGGATTGGGCATCCGCCCAAGGAGTGGACGTTCGCCCAAGAGCTGGACGCCCGCCCAAGGATTTGACGTCCGCCCAAGAGCTGGACGCCCACCTAGGGTAACATCCCTGACCGACCATCATTCCCAACCGACACACTTTGCTGATTACACGGTTAAATGCTAATGACACATTAAAGTCCGTAATGAAGATTAAGGTATTATTGGGCCGTTCCCAGGCCCCCAAAAGGTAAAAGCCCATTACAATTCACTATAAATAAAGGTCTCAGGTATGAACTCTGGACTAACTTGAATAACGATGCATACACGCATCACAATCG